TCAAATTAAGTCTGATTAACAGTTCTTCGAGAGGACAAGAACTGGTATCGCTGGTCGACGGTAGCAGTTTTTCGCAAGCTGGTTGCGGCGGCACATTATTTGGGGTAGCGTTCGACCAATTCGATGATGAATCGAGCGATAAATCATCGCTAGAATCATTACGTTAATGTCATCCGGTCAACTGCGAAAACAAATTTCTCACTTGTTACTGCTGTATACGCCGGAATCCGTTGTTTGGGGAGAAACGGAAATATCGCTGGACCGGAACTTGTCGCCGTCCTTCTTTGATAAGTTCACTTCCAACAATGCAGGGTTGTAAGGAGGCTTAGGGGGCGGCAGCAGCTCAGCGTCGTAAGTCCCTGACTGAGAAGCGCCTGTGCGGATACACATACTATCGTTTGTGTCGAAACCATTACGCTCCAATCTCTCCTTCATATGCTCATTACCGTCACCTGAATTTGAGTCAGACCCTGCGTTGTCAAAAGTGTTGTCGTGAACAAGCGGTCGAACGACTTTCGATGAATCGCAAATAATGTCAGTCCACGACTCGTCGCTCAGTTCGTAAAGCACTTTAACCGTATTTCTCAAGTTTTGACAGAATTCGGTAATGGTGAACTTTTTTTCGACGTCAAAGCTGCACTCGATCAAGATCTGGTCCACATACTGAAGCAGATCTGCCAAATGTTGGTAGATCAGTTTGTAGACCTTGATATTCACACTAAATAATTTTGTCACAGAATTAGAGATGGGCGAAAACTGCAAACCTAGACTGCTTCAGCTCACGGTGTTTCTCGTTGAAGAGTAGTACGATCTTCAGGACGACGTCCAACAACATTGTGGCACTTCCGGCCAGCGTGAATACATTCCGCTTCAGCACAACGTCTTCCAGGTAACGCAGACAGACGAACAGCTCCTTCCGATACGTATGGAAAAGATCGGGCCTTACCTTAAATGCATTATGCCAAAATGTGAAATAAGTAACAGCAAACAAAAACACTGGCAGAATAGATAGGTTTCAGGATAAAACCACTAAAGAGATACACTATAAGCAGCGGACAAAGAGCCGGTTCATTGCTTACCTTAATGATGGTTAAATCCGTATCTCGAACTTGTATCAAATTTAATAAAAGAGAGCTCCTACTGACAGACTTTTGTCGTTTGTCACAAATCATCGCCTCATACAGCTTAAAACTGTATTATTTGTATCACGGGAAAAGAAATAAGCCTTTGCTCAATATACACATGCATTGTTTATGATCCTTTCTTCAAACAGACCTGGTCTGATCTTCTCATCGTACATTGCTTTCTATGGTTTCTCTCGTTAGCATACTGATTCGGGAGAAATTTTTATCAAGTATCAAGTCGTTATCGAGCCTTGAAGTTTATCAGTAACAGCTAAAAAGACTACTGAGATGTTCTGAAGAGCTCCAAATTTGACATTTTCATGACGTACCGGCGGCAAAGACACACTAGATAAACAAAGAGGAGGAAGTCTCGTTCCTTTCACACCGCTTCCATAATTATTTACCTGTTCACACTATGCAAAGAAGTAATGAAAATAAATACAACAGCTGAACAGTTAGTGCTTCTACTCCACCCCAGGGGAAGAAAAAGCTCAACAGGGACGACTTGAAAATCTCTTCAAGAGCAAATACGGCATCTCAATAAGTAAGAATTCAAACTGAAAGGAGAAAAGGCTAGTCATGCCAAATCAATCATGAGGTACCTGATCAAAAAACCAGTATTCTCGTAACACAGTTTGGAAGCAACAAGATTACAATCAGAAGGAAAAGAGGGAATACCGCAAGAAAAACGCCCTTCAACGAAATCACCAAGGATTAGTTTTGATATCGTCGCTTTCTTCTCACCATCACACCAGTCATGGAAACTTTGTAGATCATCCAACAGACGCTAAAGTGTAAAAACACCTTCCTCCATTTACAACCAATCTATTCAGGCGGTACTACAGAAAGTGTTAAAAAGCTAAAAATGCCATGAACATGATAAATTAGAAGCGTTTTGATCCGCTATGCACTATGCGCAAAACGATGATAACAACAAAAGCAAGCAATCGGCGTTACTCCTAATAAAACGAAGACAGCTGAAAGCAAACACTAGAACTGGTGTGCCTGGAAATAATGTGAACGCAACGTGTCGAGATTACACTGCAGCGCCAACAGCGTCAACCGCTAAATTCAACTGTTCACACAGCTATCGTATGAAAGTCATCTTAATTTTGGATACATTTGTTCAATTAAGCGGAAATCAACAGCAAGGGCAAGTTCAAATACTATGACCAGACGGCCAAGCAAGTTCAGTGACTCTTCTGATTAAACCCCCCCCCCCTTGCCAAGTGAGCGACAGTCCTGTAAGATAAGCGTATCTGGCATTCGTGTTCCAATCTGATGTTAGCTTAACTGCCTGTTCCAATGTTGCTG